CCCCAACTTCCTTGCCAAGGTGGCAACCCCCCATTTCATTTTAAACCTCCACCGTCCTTCAGAAACTGCACGTAAGAGTAAAATACAGCTATATCCCCCAGCTAATGACTGAGGCTCTCAACAGCATTGGAGACCACCTCGCTGCCCCAGCGCTCCCCTCAAGACCCTGTGAAGATGCTGGTCATCAAGGTGCTGGGACTCCTTTGGAAGCGCAACCTGCCCGTCCACCAGAAAGCCCCTCACGCGGCTGGGATGCGGCTCTGAAGCAGCCGTGGTCAGAGCGAGAGGTGTCCCACCAGCCCCAGGCAGAGGGGGTGGGATGTGTCCCCCCGCTGCTCTGAGGACGCATGTCCCGAGGAGCCTGCGGAGAGGCTCGACGTCTTTCATGAGATCGTGTGCTGGATCCAGATGTGGTGCAATTTTAATCGGTGCTACTCATCAGCCAGGGCTCAAGCTCCAAAACAAGAATTTCCTCATGGTGACTAGTCCCAGCTGAAGACATTTCTTGCCCCGCTGCAGTTTGGTTGTTTGTTTTATTATTTTTTTTTTTCTTAAGCAAGACACCGGCATTTCCCCCGTGCTCTTTAGAAGCTGTTGTAAAATGTTTAGTTTTGCTCAGGGTTTTCATTGTGATCATGGGAACACTTGTGCTTGTTTGCTTAAACCTTTCTCCTTTGGCATGTGACATACCCTAATAAACACTAGAGGCAGTCAGCTCGTGTGGTTTTCTCTGTGTCCAAAGAGTTTCGTGTTGCAACAAGACTCCTCTTTTGCTGAGATCTCGAAGTGTTACTTGACTTTCTCTTGCCTTTTGAAGTCTGCATTTAGAGGAGCCAAAGGGGACGCGTAAGCCCAGTCTCCCACCCTTCTCAGCCCTCTCTTTCCAGAAATTTGGGTGGTTTCTGAGGTTGGCAGGAGGGCGAAGGAGGGTCTCGCAGGGGTGGAGTGGTTGGGGTGGTGAAATTGCTGGGTCAGGCTCGGCATGACGGTCTGATCCTGCTGAGGCTGTAAAACACACGGGGTGCTCATCCGTGGGAACGAGCGCATTGCTGGAGCACAGTAGGAGGCAGCAGGGTTGAACCTGGATGCTCTTCTCTGTCCTTCTGCTGAGGCTTCTGAGGTGGCCCCGTTAGAGCAGAGCAGACTTTTGGACTCAGCTGACATTGGGAGACAGTTCTCTTCCCCTTTCTCTTCCTAAGCCCTTTCCTTGCCACGTTGGACAACTTGGGATATTCACAGAATCACAGAAAGGTTTGGGTTGGAAGGGACCTTGAAGATCACCCAGTGCCACCCCCTGCCCTGGGCAGGGACATCTCCCACCAGCCCAGGTTGCTCCAAGCCCCGTCCAACCTGGCCTTGAACACCTCCAGGGATGGGGCAGCCACAGCTTTTCGGGGCAATTTGTCCCAGTGCCTCACCACCCTCAGAGTGAAAAATTTCTTCCCTAGCTGGTCCGCCCCTGACCAACCGCTGCCTCCACCCATGCTGCCCTGTCCTCCAAGGTGGTCCTGGTGCCCACAGCTGGTGCTGTCATGGCAAAGACACTGCACAGCCCTGAGTGCTTTTGGGGCGTCCTATGAGGGATGGTGTGGAAGAGGGAAGGGTGATCATCACCCCTCCAGCTAATTTAGAGCTAATTCCTCAGCATCCACCACGTTGGAGCCAACCCTGCAGCTTTTACTGTTGTCTGGACTGGCCGGGGATCCACCGGTTGCTTTCAAGGTGTCTCCAAAAGGTAACTGAGAACATGGGAAGAGCAAGATCTCAACCCATTGTCAAGCCCCACCTCCCCACAAAAGTAGAATATTTTTGATGACCTGTAAATTTAGAGCCAAAACCTCCCTGTGTGGTTTGACCTCTCGCCCAGGAGAGCTTGAATCATGTCCCTGGTCAACCGCAGACCGGCTCTGCGATCCGGATGACTCATTTCATTTATCCCATACTCCGTTTGTAAATGCTGGAGACATAAACCTACCCGCCACCGCGGAATGTCACCGCTCTGCCAGCAAAGGCGTGTAACCACTTGGATGGGGAGATGGTTTGGGCAATGGTTAAATATTCCAGTGAGTTGTAAAAGGGACCTGAGATGGCGTTGAATGAAGAGACATTTACTTCCCTCAGAGTCACCCCAATCCAGCTGCCTCTGCGTAAACTTGCCTCCAGCAGATGACTCCCGTCGTCTGTGACGAAGAGACAAAAGGTTTCTAGGGGTGGACAAAAGCTGTAGTTATGACAAACAGACAGCAAAAAGCCCTCACCTTTTGTTCTGATGATTGCACCAGCAATTAGGGGAAAATTCTCCTGGGCTGGACCCACATGTGACATAATTTCTGCCTTTTGTTGGAGGAGCCCTGGTTTGTTTTACGCCCCCGAAATAAGCTTCATTTTATTTCATCATGATTCCCACACACCCCCACCCCCTTCCACGTTTTAAATGTCTCTTCTAAAGCACAGGGAAAACACTGAGATGCCAAATATTTCATGGAAATTGTGAGAATTAGATGCTTTTCCCCCCGAATTTCTCTCTTTCTGTGGCTGAAGAAGCTCAGTGCGGGTTGACCCACAGTGTTGGTGCTGAAATGAGCCTTTTCCTCCACGTATTCAAGGCTCGAGCAGCTTTTCTGGTAGCCCTGCCCGTTTGTTTTTACAGAATCACTGAAAGATTTGGGTTGGGAGGGACCTTTAAAGGTCATTTTCCTTCCTCAGGGGTTTGGGTACAACGATGGCGTTTGAGATCCCCGCAGTCTCAAGCTGCCTGTTGCGTTTGAACCAGGTGATGGTGTCGATACCCAAATCCCGGCTGGATTTCCTAAACTTGGCTGGCGAGGCAGCCGTGACTCAACCAGAGCGTTTATCTAAACATGGGGTGCTCAGGACTCCAGCCGGCTGCTGACTTAACGCATCTCCTCCCGGCACGGCTGGGAACCTGAAAGCTCTCTGATCACGTCGTACCGCCCACGGGAAAAAGAAAGAAAAACAAACAACAAAAACCCCAGAAAAATGTAAGCATGTTTTTGGTAATGCAGAGGGAGGCAAGAATCATAGACTCATAGAATGGTTTAGGTTGGAAGGCACCTTGAAGACCATCCAGTGCCACCCCCCTGCCCTGGGCAGGGACACCTCCCACCAGCCCAGGTTGCTCCAAGCCCCGTCCAACCTGGCCTTGAACACCTCCAGGGATGGGGCAGCCACAGCTTCTCGGGGCAACCTGCCCCAGGGGCTCACCACCCTCGCACTCAACAATTTCTGCCTCAGATCTCATCTCAATCTCCCCTCTTCCAGTTTGAAGCCGTTCCTCCTCATCATCACTCCATGTCCTTGTAAAAAGTCCCTCCCCAGCTCTCCTGGAGCCCCTTTAGGCACTGGAAGGGGCTCTGAGGCCTCTCCAAAGCCTTCTCTTCTCCAGGCTGAACAACCCGACCTCTCTCAGCCTGTCAAAGACATCGTTAAATGCGTGTGCGCCCGTGCATGCACATATATGTGATGGTATCTACAGTAGTTCTAAGCCCAGCGCACCCTCCTGAACCCTGCGGTGTGGCAGGCGGCGGTGGAATGGATTTGACTGATAAATCAGAAGCGGAGTCTGTTGGCAGCCCCGGTTGGCGGAGACGGCACTGCCAGGTCTTCTTGCCTGTGATTTGCCTCTCCTCCCGACGGCGTTTGCTGTTGCCCTGAGAGGGGCTCGGGTGGTTGTGGAGTCCTTTGGCTGATGGTCACGGTGATGGTGGAGGTTGTGCTTCAGAACCTCCTGGTCTGGGGATTTTGTCCCAACCGTGGTGTTTAGGAGTGTTGTGGTTTGGGTCTCACACCAGGGCAAGGAAACAAAGTCTTCCTGAAGCCCACCAAGCCACAGGGGACCTCCTCAGCCCATGTATTTATTGTCTATAAACCACACTGTACAACCTCCAGAACCCCTATCATCCCCACCCCTTCACCCTCGTGGTGACTTGTCATTGATACATATATTTTTTAAGCCCTGTCTGTCCTTGATTCGCTTCCGCATGTGCTCAGGAGCCCACGCTGGTGCTGGGGAGGGAGGTGGGCCGAGCAAGCTGGGCAGGGACGGCCGTGGTTTTGGGTGGAAATGCCAGTTCAGCTGCACGTTACGCCATGCAACGGGTCCCTAGGCATTTTGGAAATAGGTGTCTGGGCGATATTTTTAGAGGCATTTAAACATCTGAAGACACCAAGAGTTGCTGGTGTGGATTTTCAAGCAGCACTTAATTGCCCGTGTCCTACGGGAACATCTGAGCACTTTGCTAGCCAGCTGCCTCAGTAGTCATGGAGACTTTTGAACTTCAAAACTTCTTAGGTGGCTTTAAAAAAGTGGAAAACTAATAAAAAAGGGAATTTCTCAAAAAAAAAAAAAAAGGTTTTCAAACAAGGCAGTAATCGTTATTTGATAAGCAGGACAGCAGGATGAACGCCTGAGGGGTCGTAGGCTCGTTAGGGCAAGTTTGACTCCTAAACTAATCCTCTCTTGGAGTGACACCAAAGCTGGGGCATTGGGAGAAGCTTCTGCCTCTCTAAAGCCCAGTGACGGCTTTCAAACGACCTTAAAAATGATACCTGCGCCTGGTCGTGAAGGAGGGCTCAGCACAGCTTACAAGCGCGCCTATGTCTGCCAAAAATATATTTGCATATAAATACCGAAGTAAGCCCGGCAGCTGAAAAACATGCATTTCCTCGAGTGAAAGTTATTGTGCCCTCTGTTCTCCTCATTTCTATGTGTCTCTACAAACGAGTTGAGCTCTCCGGCATCCTCTGCCTAGCTAATTGCATTTAAATGGTTACAGGATTCATTATGTGGGCAGTGTGATTTCGCATGCCTCCTTCTCCCTGTCTCTTCTCAGAGCCGTCCATCCATCTGTCCACACGTCCCACTGTAGCAGCTCGGTTCCTGACGTCTTCTCTGGTTCTTCCCCTGGTCTTGAAGCCTTCAGAAAATCCTGAAGGGATTTCCCGTCTGGGATATTCATGGCATTTCTTCACTGGGGCTGAGACTGTCTTGGCACGAAGACTCCAGGACACACTTTTGGTGTTTGGTCCAACAATAAATGAATTTCCAGTGCCAACCATTGCTCTGGTATCTTGTTTCTGGTAAGGTTTTATTTATCGAAAAGACACAGAGCCTCATCAAAATGCAATTTGCTGAGCCCTGGCTCTAGATTGGGAAACTACTTCTCAAAGCCAAAGGCAATTTTCCATGTAAAAAGAAGACGAAGGGTGTAACATAGGTGTGTTTTGGGAATTGTGAAAGCCAT